TAAAAAGTAATTTTTTATTTTGTTTTTTCACTGTTATAGTCAATTTATGACTTCACTGCAAAAACAGTTTGTTTAAAAAACCAGCACATCTATATATATATTTCTCTTACACGGCACCAAAAAAAAAAGCCTCATTACAACTCCCCGAATGGTGACGTTAGAAAATCGACCAATGATTGTTGCTAAAAATGTCACATGGCAAATCTAGATGAGGTNCCGTAAAATATTATATCGCAATTTTTACAGTAATATTTATTTAATCAGGGTGACCAAGTGATTTTATGGTAATTATTACTGTAAAAATTACGATGTATCTGATTTTTTTTATTACGAAACTTGCTCTGGTAAAAATTGATTTTACGGTAAAAAGTAATTTTTTATTTTGCTTTTTCACTGTCATAGTCAATTTATGACTTCACTGCAAAAACAGTTTGTTTAAAAAACCAGCACATTTTTACTAATATATAAGTGCTTATGCTTTCAAGCAATTATAATTTTATCAATTTTATATAATATTTTGCACGATTGCTATATTTCTGTACTTAAAAATATATTTAACGTACTTCAGCACTAAAAATGGTGACAAGTTCACTGCAAAATGCTTTATGTGACAATCATCCCAAACATCTAGTTAAATTAATTTATAAACAGAATGTAGGATTTTGAAGTGTTAAAAACTTAATACTTGAGAAAAACAATATTTTTTATAAATTCTATCTTTAAAATATCATTTCTAGTTTTAAAAATACAGTCTATTTCATTTAAATTTTCTCAGTCTAGTTCTAAAAAGGAGTTAGAAAGAAGTTCATCAAAATTAGTAATTAAATTATTCGCATTCCGTATCATAGTGATGAAACAATACAATTTTAACTGCAGTTTTCTTTAAAATGCTTGATACCAAAAATACTTCTAAAATCCTATGGGTAAAAATAATGCTTAAGAAAATATATAGTATTGTCGTGAAAAATATTTTTTGGCGGACAATGCATCACTTTCTTTTTCTGCTGGAATATTTCATCCCTACCATATCTAAGTCCATCTTTTTAGAACAAGGTCCCATAAGAATTCAAAAACTTTACAGGAAATAGGCCGAAAAGGGACTACTATTCAAAATGTAGATGCCCACTCCAAAGGAATTTTTTTTTCACATCATCTATTTTTTTTTTTTTTTTTTTTTTTTTTTTTTTTTTTTGTGCTAGACGGTTTCATTGAAGAATATTTGTCTGAAATCGTCAGCTGTGCACGTCACCAAGCTTTTTTTTTTCCACGTCTACGATGTAAAATTTTTATTTCCACTATATATTCTCGAAAGAATTGCACTTAAGGAATAATAAAGAATAGTTATATTCCACTATAAGCTGATTTGGAAAGATATATCAATGCAGAATAGCTTTATTTTAAAAATCTAGTAAAGTAACATTTTAAATATTGAGGAATATTTGAAATTTTTTTCCCCGGAAACAATTTTAACATGGCGATACTTTTTTATTTATATTATGTACTACTTGCTGCTGCTCCTGCGGAAGTACCTTGATTTTAATTTTAACTATTACCAAGAGATCACCGAGATATTGTCAAAGTTCTTTAGGTAATGAATTTAAGTAGTAGTTTAAAATCTGTTCTACAGCAATTAAATCACACAAGCCACCATAAGCAAAGGGTGCATCAAAAGTTTCACAAGATTTAAAATATTAACTATTATTTAGCATTGATTTACAAAAAGGAAAACTATTCGACATCTGGTAGTGTTAGTTAAAATGCAGCATTACAGTTAAGGCCAACTTGTTTTCACTGTTGAAAGCCTATGAAGAAACATAATTATACACCTGTAAAACCAGAAGTTCAAGTTTTTCAGAATACTTAAAGCGATAGACAAGTGACAATTTAAGGTACACCTAATATGTATTTAAATTGTATGTAGTGATGGGCAAAATTATTCTAAATTAAATTTATTAAATCAATAATAAATTGTTTGAACAAAAAATTTATTTCCTCTCTAAGCATTTAAATAGTTTTCATTTCATCTAAATCCTTCGACCTTGAAAAGAAAATTGAAAAATTTAATAAATATAAAAATTAAATCTACAAATTAATAAAAATAAAGCAGAAAACTTGACAATAAAGGCAAAATCCAATCCTTATCCTTCATTTAAAACGGGATAGTCCTGCTAACATTACAGAAACTTGGGCACTGGATGGAAAAAGCAAGAAAGTATGGTCGAGACTTACTTTGCAAAGGTGTAGTTCGTCCACCAGGAGTTGGCACTTGGTTCGCAAACTTTATGTGCATTTTTTTAACATTAAATAAATTCATAAATTTGATGATAATTTATAATTTGATGATAATTTGATAATTCATAAATTTGATGATTTCATAACTTTGATGATAATTCATAATTTGATGATAATTTGATAATTCATAAATTTGATGATTTCATAAATTTGATGATATTTCTTAGCCATTTTTATGATATTTCTCTCTTTTGAGTGAATAGTTTGCCCTTTTTGAGACATTTTGGTGCAAANGATGATAATTCATAATTTGATGATAATTTGATAATTCATAAATTTGATGATTTCATAAATTTGATGATAATTCATAATTTGATGATAATTTGATAATTCATAAATTTGATGATATTTCTTGGACATTTTTATGATATTTCTCTCTTTTGAGTGAATAGTTTGCCCTTTTTGAGATATTTTGGTGCAAAAACAGCTGTTTTTAAATTTAAAATATATTTAATTTGCACGTATAACTAAATGTATAATAGCAGGTTATAAAGCGAAGTGAGTGAGTAAAAAAGAATTCACTGTTTATGTTTGGCTCGCATAAAGGATTGTCTCAATTTCAAGAGCGGAGATTCTCTTCTTTTTTTAAATTTTTTTATCGCGTCCATGGACAATTAAATGGCCTCGTGTGCCTTCAAAACTGCATCCGCTAGCTCTAATACATCATTACTATAGAGCAGTGATTATCAAACTTATTTCTTTTACCGCCCTCTTCGAAAATCAATTATTTTTCAGCGCCCCCCATTTTTTATACACCCCTAAAACTTAAAAACCACAATTTCATTACTTTAATTAATTTAGTTATACAGTAGAGAACCGATTACCCCGAACGATCGGGACCATCCTGATTCCGGATAACTGATTTTTTCGCTTTTCTGAATCGCTACAAAATGCCGTTTTTTGAATGTTTATAAAACGAAACTAAAAAATTATTTTGAAATAGTTTTAGAAATAATAAAAAATGACGAATAATAATACACTTAAGTTTAAATAAGGAAAGAAATTATGAAATAAAAATTATATACAGGCTTATATATGTTATTAATGTTATTATTAACATTAATAACATACAGTGGTGGCCAAAAGTGTGGACACTTTTTGAAAGTTTCATGTTTTTCAACTTTGTGTGCTTGTAGAGTATATTAATTTTCACTTAAATACAAACGTTTATATATCAAATTGAAGGTAATTTAATGTAGAATTTAATAATAAATACAGTATTACAATATCTGTATTACAAAAAAAGTTATGCAATTAATAGTAAGATCTATCTTAGATTTGCATTTTTT